ATCAATTGGGCTTGAAGTACAAATCCTATTCAAACTAGTCTAGTGTGCTTCCAGAGCATTCCACTTCAAAAGCAACGACAGTTCAATGTGTGTGGGTATGACATGAATAAAGTGACCTGGCAAGATCAATTGGCAGCTCAAACGGCACCATCTCAGTTCAGAAGTACTTCTGATACAAAACTATGGCAGTGCCTTTGTGAGCCTTATCAAGAAATGATGTTGTGGCCGAATAAGGCCCACCTTTACTGAAGTTTGCAATAATCCATTGGAGCTCAAAAAATTCAATCTCATTATTTACTTCGGTCAATTCCAATGACACTTTGTGTCTGCAGTGTCAGCTTTACAGAAACCTGGAAAATTGTTTGCTGCTTAAAGCGCTCATTACCTACAAACATTTTCAGAGGAGAATTTGGGTTAGCTGACTCAGAAGAAACAATCCTCACTAGGATTGTGACATGTTTGAGAGAAAAACAACACAAATGTGGCCAGAGAAGTCCTACAGAATGACTGCTTCACTCTTGTATGTGTCTTTTCATTTTTGACAGCATCTGCCGAGGATTTTCCGTAAACGCACCGTTTCCAGCCAGCTCGTGCATTGGTTGTTCAGTGGTAGAATTCTCGCCTTCCACGCGGGAGGCTCGGGTTAGATTCCCGGCCAATGCAATAGACAACTGAGATAAATTGGTTTTTTTTGGATACGTGGAAAGTAAAACAAAGTACTATTTGAGTCAATGGGCAGTTTAAACATTTACAGTACACAGAAATAAAAAATGGCCTTTAACTGCCTCAAATTGAGATGGAATATAAGGCAAAAGATCTTTTGGGTCTGGCAGTGAAACGCAACGTGGCATAAAACATTATCTTTTGCGACATGTGTTGATCAATTGGGCTTGAAGTACAAATCCTATTCAAACTAGTCTAGTGTGCTTCCAGAGCATTCCACTTCAAAAGCAACGACAGTTCAATGTGTGTGGGTATGACATGAATAAAGTGACCTGGCAAGATCAATGGCAGCTCAAACGGCACCATCTCAGTTCAGAAGTACTTGATACAAAACTATGGCAGTGCCTTTGTGAGCCTTATCAAGAAATGATGTTGTGGCCGAATAAGGCCCACCTTTACTGAAGTTTGCAATAATCCATTGGAGCTCAAAAAATTCAATCTCATTATTTACTTCGGGTCAATTCCAATGACACTTTTGTGTTCCGTGCAGTGTCAGCTTTACAGAAACTCTGGAAAATTGTTTGCTGCTTAAAGCGTTCATTACCTACAAACATTTTCTGTGAGGAGAATTTGGGTTAGCTGACCTGAAGAAACAACTTCACTAGGGATTGTGAGCATGTTTGAGAGAAAAACAACACAAATGTGGCCAGAGAAGTCCTACATTTACAGAGGTGCGTCACAAACGATTCCAGCTCAAGCCAAATCTTTTCATCCATGTCTTGTTTAAGACTTGCTCGGTCCAGTCTGACTTTGTGCTTCCAACAGTTCCTCGTAGTATAGTGGTTAGTATCCCCGCCTGTCACGCGGGAGAACGGGATTTAATTCCCCGACGGGAGATTGCTGCCTTTTGCAAGCCTTACTTCAGAATGACTGCTTCACTCTTGTATGTGTCTTTTTATTTTTGACAGCATCTGCCGAGGATTTTCGGTAAACGCACCGTTACCAGCCAGCTCGTGCATTGGTGGTTCAGCGGTAGAATTCTCGCCTGCCACGCGGGAGGCTCGGGTTAGATTCCCGGCCAATGCAATAGACAACTGAGATAAATTGGATTTTTTGGATACGTGGAAAGTAAAACAAAGTAATATTTGAGTCAATGGGCAGTTTAAACATTTACAGTACACAGAAATTAAAAATGGCTTTTAACTGCCTCAAATTGAGATGGAATATAATACAAAAGATCTTTTGGGTCTGGCAGTGAAACGCAACGTGGCATAAAACATTATCTTTTACGACATGTGTTGATCAATTGGGCTTAAAGTACAAATCCTATTCAAACTAGTCTAGTGTGCTTCCAGAGCATTACACTTCAAAAGCAATGACAGTTCAATGTGTGTGGGTATGACATAAATAAAGTGACCTGGCAAGATCATTGACAGCTCAAACGGCTCCGTCTCAGTTCAGAAGTACTTGATACAAAACTATGGCAGTGCCTTTGTGAGCCTTATCGAGAAATTATGTTGTGGCCGAATAAGGCCCACCTTTACTGAAGTTTGCAATAATCCATTGGAGCTCAAAAAATTCAATCTCATTATTTACTTCGGGTCAATTCCAATGACACTTTTGTGTTCCGTGCAGTGTCAGCTTTACAGAAACTCTGGAAAATTGTTTGCTGCTTAAAGCGTTCATTACCTACAAACATTTTCTGTGCGGAGAATTTGGGTTAGCTGACCTGAAGAAACAACTTCACTAGGGATTGTGAGCATGTTTGAGAGATAAAAACAACACAAATGTGGCCAGAGAAGTCCTACATTTACAGAGGTGCGTCAGAAACGATTCCAGCTCAAGCCAAATCTTTTCATCCATGTCTTGTTTAAGATTTGCTCGGTCCTGTCTGACTGTGCAGTAGATAGACAAAAAATTGTCAAAATGTGCGTCCCGAAACCTATTTAGTTGCTATTGTTTTGTAGAAAGTTTCGTTATGTAGTTTACGAAATATTAACGAAATTGTCGCTAATTAATCCTCATTGAAATACATTGACGGAATCTTCAAAACTAGAGTGTGAGAGCCCATTCAGCAGAAAATGTAGAGAACATTTGTAAACTGCTACTGCTGCCTGAGTTTCAACCCGTTGAAAGCATTTTGTTATTTTCTTGGCGGGAAGAAACAATCAATCAAAAAGTTAATTATGCAGTGAAGAAATCAATCAGAGCTGTATTTTCAAATGTTCTAATAGCTTACGGCCACACCACCCTGAAAAACGCCCGATATCGTCTGATCTCGGAAGCCAAGCAGGGTCGGGCTTGTTTAGTACTTGGATGGGAGACCGCCTAGGAATACCTAGTGCTGTAAGCATTTTGTTATTTTCTTGGCGGGAAGAAACAATCAATCAAAAAGTTAATTATGCAGTGAAGAAATCAAAAGGAGCTCTAATTTCAACTTTACTAATACCTTACGGCCACACCACCCTGAAAACGCCTGATCTCGTCTGATGTCGGAAGCTAAGCAGGGTTGGGCTTGGTTAGTACTTGGATGGGAGACCGCCTAGGAATATCTAGTGTTGTAAGCATTTTGTTATTTTCTTGGCGCGAAGAAACAATCAATCAAAACGTTAATTATGCAGTGAAGAAATCAATAAGAGCTGTAATTTCAACTTTCTAATAGCTTACGGCCACACCACCCTGAAAACGCCCGATCTCGTCTGATCTCGGAAGCCAAGCAGGGTCGGGCTTGGTTAGTACTTGGATGGGAGACCGCCTGGGAATATCTAGTGTTGTAAGCATTTTGTTATTTTCTTGGCGGGAAGAAACAATCAATCAAAAAGTTAATTATGCAGTGAAGAAATCAATAACAGCTGTAATTTCAACTTTCTAATAGCTTACGGCCACACCACCCTGAAAACGCCCGATCTCGTCTGATCTCGGAAGCCAAGCAGGGTGGGAGACCGCCTGGGCTTGGTTAGTCCTTGGATGGGAGACCGCCTAGGAATATCTAGTGTTCTAAGCATTTTGTTATTTTCTTGGCGGGAAGAAACAATCAATCAAAAAGTTAATTATGCAGTGAAAAAATCAGCTGTAAAAGCTGTAATTTCAACTCTTCTAATAGCTGGAAATACTAGTGCCACACCACCCTGAAAACTTGCCCGAACTCGTCTGATCTCGGAAGCCAAGCAGGGTCGGGCTTGGTTAGTACTTGGATAGGCAACCGCCAAGGAATATCTAGTGTTGTAAGCATTTTGTTATTTTCTTGGCGGGAAGAAACAATCAATCAAAAAGTTAATTATGCAGTGAAGAAATCAATAACAGCTGTAATTTCAACTCTTCTAATAGCTTACGGCCACACCACCCTGAAAACGCCCGATCTCGTCTGATCTCGGAAGCCAAGCAGGGTTGGGCTTGGTTATTACTTGGATGGGAGACCGCCTGGGAATATCTAGTGTTGTAAGCATTTAGTTATTTTCTTGGCGGGAAGAAACAATCAATCAAAAAGTTAATTATGCAGTGAAGAAATCAATAAGAGCTGTAATTTCAACTTGTCTAATAGCTTACGGCCACACCACCCTGACAACGCCCGATCTCGTCTGATCTCGGAAGCCAAGCAGGGTCGGGCTTGGTTAGTACTTGGATGGGAGACCGCCTAGGAATATCTAGTGTTGTAAGCATTTTGTTATTTTCTTGGCAGGAAGAAACAATCTATCAAAAAGTGAATTATGCAGTGAAGAAATCAATAAGAGCTGTAATTTCATCTTCTCTAATAGCTTACGGCCACACTACCCTGAAAACGCCTGATCTCGTCTGATCTCGGAAGCCAAGCAGGGTCGGGCTTGGTTAGTACTTGGATGGGAGACCGCCTAGGAATATCTAGTGTTGTAAGCATTTTGTTATTTTCTTGGCGGGAAGAAACAATCAATCAAAAAGTTAATTATGCAGTGAAGAAATCAATAAGAGCTGTAATTTCAACTTTTCTAAAAGCTTACGGCCACACCACCCTGAAAACGCCCGATCTCGTCTGATCTCGGAAGCCAAGCAGGGTCGGGCTTGGTTAGTACTTGGATGGGAGACCGCCTAGGAATATCTAGTGTTGTAAGCATTTTGTTATTTTCTTGGCGGGAAGAAACAATCAATCAAAAAGTTAATTATGCAGTGAAGAAATCAATAACAGCTCTATTTTCAAATGTTCTAATACCCTACGGCCACACCACCCTGAAAACGCCTGATCTCGGAAACCAAACAGGGTCGGGCTTGGTTAGTACTTGGATGGGAGACCGCCTGGAAATATCTAGTGTTGTAAGCATTTTGTTATTTTCATGGCGGGAAGAAACAATCAATCAAAAAGTGAATTATGCAGTGAAGAAATCAATAAGAGCTGTAATTTCAACTTTTCTAATAGCTTACAGCCACACCACCCTGAAAACGCCCAATCTCGTCTCATCTCGGAAGCCAAGCAGGGTCGGGCTTGGTTAGTACTTGGATGGGAGACCGCCTAGGAATATCTAGTGTTGTAAGCATTTTGTTATTTTCTTGGCGGGAAGAAACAATCAATCAAAAAGTTAATTATGCAGTGAAGAAATCAATAACAGCTGTATTTTCAAATGTTCTAATACCCTACGGCCACACCACCCTGAAAACGCCTGATCTCGGAAACCAAACAGGGTCGGTCTTGGTTAGTACTTGGATGGGAGACCGCCTGGAAATATCTAGTGTTGTAAGCATTATGTTATTTTCTTGGCGGGAAGAAACAATCAATCAAAAAGTTAATTATGCAGTGAAGAACTCAATAAGAGCTGTAATTTCAACTTTTCTAATAGCTTACGGCCACACCACCCTGAAAACGCCCGATCTCGTCTGATCTCGGAAGCCAAGCAGGGTTGGGCTTGGTTAGTACTTGGATGGGAGACCGCCTGGAAATATCTAGTGTTGTAAGCATTATGTTATTTTCTTGGCGGGAAGAAACAATCAATCAAAAAGTTAATTATGCAGTGAAGAAATCAATAAGAGCTGTA